CAACACATTGACAGATGCAACCATAGGTTTGATTAAGACACTGAGCATCCTAGATCAAATCCAAAAATGCTAGGAAATTCCTGGAAAATCAAGATTGAGACATATCAATCATCAAGTGACACACATAAATACACCATATTCACACATTGTTGAAAAGAGGCAATCAAAAAAGCTAAGAAGTAAACCAAATGCCCAGAATCCATCATCTCCAACAGTCAACATCCAGATAAGCAGGGATTAACACCAGACAAGCAACTAAGCAGAAAACAATATCCAAATGCAGGAACTGCCAAGGAGAAAATGACAATCCCACCAAAACCATAAGAATAAGCTACTGTATGTACAGTGGGAGCAAAATTCCACATTGCCTCTACTGACGATATTAACTAGTTGGGTAATGAAACACAGGAAGTCAAAACAACATGTAGGAAAAATGCCATGGTAAACCATGATGCAGGCAAGAAAGTTAAATGTCCTTGTCCATCAAGTCATCAGAAATTGATTTGGACTTGAACCTTTTTCTTTCCTGGGTTTTGCACTGCAAGTATTTTCTATATGTTGCATAAGCATTTCTTCTATGGCACATCCATTTAATGCGTCTCTTAAAATGATATTGCATGATATTTTGAAAGTGCTCGGCTAGGCCATCTGCTTTTACATTGCATGTTTCACACATTCTGGCCAATTGGGTGATCTTGTGATTTTCTCTCTCCTTATATTTGGTGTTGTAATCAGGGCATGAAACAAACATTACAGCAAGTGAATTGTCTGTGTGTTTCTTAAAGGGGTGGTGAGGAGGCAAAATATTCCAGAAAAGGAGCCAAGCTTTCAATGGATTTTTTTCTTCTTCTTCTTTTGGTGTTGTTTTGGGAAGGAGCAGATGAATGGCAGAGCAAGAATTTCCTCAATTTTGATTAAATGCAGTTTTCCTACCTTGGCTGCCGCAGCGATGCCCTTGGTTTTCACCAGTTGTGCATGAAGAGCTGCAGAGCCATCAATAAATATAAAATAGGAAATATTGCAAATCCCTGCTTATGAAGCCAAAAAAAAAGTTTTCTCGTGAAATAAGATTGGCCAAGAAACAGGAAGTTGTTAAGCATGGCTACATACATGTCTGTGAATTTTTCAGTACAATTCTGCGACAGGATAATTGGGTTTCACTGTCCTAGTTAAAGGTCTACAAAAGAGAGATATATATTAAGAGGTCCCAAACTGAGGAATTAACCCTTTCTAATAAACTTTCCTTCCAACCCACCTCACAAATTTGATAGTGGTACAATAATCTGGGAGAATCAATTAGCAATCTTCTTGGGGCCAGTCTGATTATTTCTTCTCTTGTTGCCAATTTCTTCTGCATTAAAAAAATAAATAAATCCACATCCTATGATATTAGAAGGAAAAGCCATGATTGAAAATCTCCCCCACCCTGAAAATTTGATCCCCTCTGGACACCGATTAACTACAATTCCCAGCATGCTTCTCTGTTGTGTATGCAGGGTAGAATTGCTGGGAGTTGTTTAGAATGTTTTCATCTCCCCATCTCTCTATAAATTCCCTCCAGCTAGAAAATAGAAGTTGCAAACATTAGAGTTGTGATAAAGATTTTATTTAGATCAGCTCAATTAACTAGTATGTGAGCAAAGCTGAGAGAATTTGTAATTGCTATTGATTTTATGCTGGAGGTGGTACTCCGAAGCCTGCTCTAATAGCCAACAACATAAAACCAATAGATGGACTGCAGGGAATTCTGCTTTCCATTTTACAGTGACAAGTTTTCAAATGTTGAAAAAATGGAGTTGGTTTGAAGGGAGGAAGAGATTTTGGATGTCCAACCCCATGATTGGTAGGTCAATCTGGGTGATGTCGGGCCTGTCCCTTTCCTTCACCCTGATCGATCTCATGAGGTTATTTTGCAGTCAAGACTGGAGAAGACATCTTTGACATCCACCAAACAGTGTTTCCAGAAGAGAGGTGGAATTTAAATTCCATAAATAGATGGGTAAACAATATTTGCTAAGAAACAGTTAAAGTCAATGAGCTGTAGAGCACATATGCTTTAACTCATAGAAATGGTAAAGCTGTAGGCAATCCAAAAGGGGGGAAAGGGTTATAACTTATTTTATTTTTATAAGGCAGAAGCTGGTAATCTCTTTATTGAATGTTGAAAATGTAAGCAATATATTGATGTTTATTTCTACAACAGTTTTTAAGCACTGTAATATTTCTTCGACAATTTATTTTTGTTTCTTACAAGTGGGGCAAAATGCTTAGGAAGCAAATTCGATACTGTAGCAAGCAGAGTCCTGCTGGAATACAACAGTTACAGTAGAAAAAGGCTACTTTTTAAGTTTATATATATATATATAAAGATACAAGGATAGTTCCCACTTTAAAAAAATCACACAACCCAAAACAAAATTCACTCAGTTGAGGAATCAGTAAAAAGAACTTTGCTCTTTATTCAGATCTGGAGTAGGAGAAGAACAGGCAGAGCTGGAAGGGGGCAGAGTTAAGCATGTCACTAGCTTAGAGTCATTGCTTTCCTACAAAGGCTCCAAATCCATCCACTCCTGAATTCTGTTGACCCTTATCTGGTGCCAATTTAGTATTGAACTTGGGTTGACCAGATTCTTGTGTATAGGCTTAATTCTTCTATACTGCAACTTAATTGATAATCCTGCTTTTTTGCACCTGACATCTGATATTTTATGAATAAATTTTTAATTTCTAAAAGTGATGGACAAAAGTGACAATCCTCTAGTTTTTCTTCCTTTGAAATTTTGCCTAAGAACAACATCTAAAGAGGAGCAACAAGATGTTTTGTTTTGTTTATTTCCCATGTCAGCAAAACTTGGCTTATAAGCGGAAATAATGTGAATCAGTAGGAACAGTTGGCAGTTGAGACCCAATGAGTTAACAATTTCGGTTTATTTCCATTTCATTTCATTTCCCTTGGAATTAAGTTTTCTTCTCTCTGCTTTGTTAGCTTCCTCTGGAAAGATTAAACGGTAACCCCAGTTGAGATAGATAGCTGTATACAAAGCAATATATACATATGCACAGATCATAAAACAAACAGAACTAAATAAACAACCCTAGATATGATTTTCTGGAACACAAAACATCACAACTGCATAATTGATCAAAGGGGTGAAAAATAAAGCCAGGTATACAAAATAAGTTTCCCTTTTTTGTTGCTTGATGTTCAAAGAACATTTTTGGTCTCTGTTGCTTCTTTAAAAAATATTTTCTATCCCAAAAGAATTAGCATGCCAGATGAGATGACTAGCAAGATCAATCTCTGATACAAAACTCTACTGTAGAGTAGTCAAAACAAAACTTACAGAAACTCTCTGAAGTTTTACGATGAGAAAGGCAACAAGTTTCAATTTTTATCCTGACCTAAACTTAATTTCCTTTAATTTCTATATCAGTTTGCACATCTCCAATGGATTGCTATCTAAACCCAAAATGTAGAACACATCCTAATGTTGTAATGCTCGGTGAAACAGAAGAGAAGTAAGGAAAGTATGTGTGTAGAGAATTTAGCTTAGATAAATTCATTTCTAATTTGCATAAAGTATAATGTAATAAAGCTTTAATAAAATGTAAATTAACTTTGATTTCATTTTGACCAGCAAGACACCTTTGAAGGTTAGTTCCTAGCCCTCCATTCAAAACTGAAGCAAAATCCACAGAGATGATATGATAGGTAGGTAGACAGATAGGTAGACAGATAGATAGATGATAGATAGATAGATAGATAGATAGATAGATAGATAGATAGATAGATAGATAGAT